TGGTCACTCACAGCTTCAACTTGAAGACCATCTTCTATAAAACAAGCAACTCCGCCTCCTTTCTTTTTTCCTTTCCTATTCTTGGTAATAAGCTGAAATTTGGAAAATTCAGCAAAATCACAAGTCATATCGTTGAGCCATGTTTCTGTTATTACAGCAATTTCAATTTTATACCTGTTAAGGGTGGCTTCAAGTTCATCCAAATTATTATTCACTGACCTTACATTTGCTAAGAATAATCTGGGATACCAGTCAGTGGTTTGTTGTACAGGAACAGGTTTAATGTTAATCAAATTACCAAAAATCACACCATTTTTATTCGCCGAAGTGAATCTGGTACACGAGTCACGTGACACAAGCGCTTGAATTTTCCTTCTAATTTTTCTCCCACCGCGTCTACCACGATGTTTTCTTAGAGAAATCTTTTTAGAATGAGATTCATGCTCTTGGTTAAGGCCACAAAATGTGTAAAACTTGTTACAAGGCGCACGTAGGTAATCATTACTGAGAGCAACCAAAGTAGGCTTTGCCTGTATGATTGCGTAACAGGTGTTAAGGGAGAGAAGGAACTCTCTCCCGTATATCAATCGCCGGCGAACCATCATGAATGCACGATTGGGCCTAGCTTAAGTTGTTCTCACAAACGGCTAAAATAATACACGAACACCAAAATCAACATGAACATAAGCTTCAACAATATAAAGAACACCAAGATCCAAACAGAAGTACAGACGGCTCACAAAACAATACTGAAATTTTAACCGCAATCTACAGCGAGAAAAACAAACGAGCGGCACAGCTTCAACAGCGCCATCTACAATGGTATTTTTGGTTTGGTGCGGTGTTCCCAGAAACATAAGATTTGTTTTATTTATATTGAGCGACAATTCGGAAAGCTCATTATTCATTACACTTAACATGTTATCGATATTACAATCCGAATAGAGACAGTTGTGTCATCTGCAAATAATATAAATGAGAGTAGTTTAAGAAGTATTACATCATTCATATATAAAAGAACAATAAGGGCCCTAGTATTTTACCTTGTGGAACTCCACACTTAACACTCTCATATAATGAATTTACATGATTGTAGGACACATACTGCTTTCTATTTGATAAATAATTTTGGAACCAATTATATGATACACCATGGAATCTACTTTTTTAATTAAACCTGGATGTATATTATCATGACCTGGACTTTTGTTGCTAGAGAGTTTATATATTATTTGTGGCAAAGACAAGCCAAACCAGTCACTCGTCGCAAATTGTGCTGCAGAGAAAATAGCAAAAACATGCTAGAATGTAAAATTTTTAAAAATTTATTTTATTTCGCTAAACTGAGGTTTATGTATCTATACATCATGCTGTGCTGTAATTTTTCCCAATTTCAATGTTAAAACAATTTTTAATGATTTTATGATGAGAAATGCATGAAATCATAAACTTTGAAGGCTGATTTCTCATATATTGTTCTTTAAACAGCTGTATGCTTAAATGCTTGTAACTTCATAAGGAAATGTCAGATTTGAATGATTTTTCTACCATTTTATAGCTCTTATTTTACTCTTTAACCCTGTATTAATAACTCAAAATGGATTTTTGCGACGAGTGACTGGTTTGGCTTGTCTTCGCCACATTTCATTTATCGCCTCTTCATTAGTTGGTCTCAAGAAACAAGTTGCATTATAGTTATTATTGAGGTAATAATTAAACTTGTTGCCAGTGTGTTTTATTTTTTCAGCCATCGACGGACCAATATTAGAAAAAAACTTAAATTAAATGCATTGGCTATCTCATCGTGATCGGTAATTGATTCGTTATTACAAACAAATTGTTGTGGTGTTACCCTCTTACTACATCTTAAGATGCCATTGAGGATTTTCCAAGTATTCTTCATGTTGTATCGTTCTTATGCTAATAATTTAGAAAAATAATTTTGTTTGGACAATCTTATGGAAGTATTTAGCGTATTACGATACTTTTTGTAAATGGAGATATTTTTGTCTGTAGGTTTCTTAATAGATTTTTTATAAAGCATATTTTTTCTACGAATACATTTTATTAAGGCATGTAAATTTGACGTGTATATGTGGAGTTGGGCCGGTGTAGATGCAAATTAGGTATTATGTGTTTTTGAGTAGGAATTTGGCACGGTGTCTGCATTTTGAAAGGAGTTCGTGCCTTTTGTTCAAAGTAGATTGTTTGTCTGCATAAATTATA